AGAAGAAAGGAAAAAAGGGGAGAGGAAGGAAGGAAGGAGGAGAGAGAGAGAGAGAGAAAGAAAGAAAGAAAGAAAGAAAGACAGAAAGAAAGAAAGAAAGAAAAAAGAAAGAAAGAGGGAAGGAAGGAAGGAAGGAGGGAAGGAAGGAAGGAAGGAAGGAGGGAAGGAGGGAAGGAAGGAAGGGGGAAGGAAGGAAGAGAGAGAGAGAGAAGAAAGGAAAAAAGGGGAGAGGAAGGAAGGAAGGAGGAGAGAGAGAGAGAGAGAGAGAGAAAGAAAGAAAGAAAGAAAGAAAGAAAGAAAGAAAGAAAGAAAGAAAGAAAGAAAGAAAGAAAGAAAGAAAGAAAGAGGAAGGTAAATAGATGATAGGAGAAAGGGAGATATGATGATGATGATGATAGACAGACAGAGTTTGTTTATTCTGACTATGAAATCCTTTGCCTCCACTGGCATGATCTGGTAATTTGGAAAGAACCCATTACTGGCCCATGAAGCATACACAAATATTGGCATTTATGGAGTTAAGTCTGAGGGTCAAACTATATATAGTCATGGCTTTAGATTCTTTATTCAGACTATGAAATCTCCACCATCACTGGCATGACCTAGTTAGTGTGGAAAGACCCATTACCCATTATGCTGGGAGACAGATGGCTTATCCACATTTACCCCATGCAGTCTTTTCAGGATCTAATTTATCACCCTCCCAAGCTCTACAGAAGTACATTCCCCACAACAGAGTTCAGTGTAGAATTAAAGAGGGAAGTGATGAGTAGCTATCACTTGCTAATTACAACTGTGGAGTACTGGCTAGGGTATTGGACTAAGATCAGGGAGACCTGGCCTTGAATTCCTGCTTTGCCATGGAAGCTCTGCTGGGGGACCTTGGGCCAGTCTTAAGGAACTTAGCTGCCTGGTGACTATAACAATTGTGATACCTGTGTTAAGATGCCTTTGAGGTACAAAGCAAAGGTGTGGAATGGCCCATCTAGGAATCTGGCCATCTTACTATGTTGCTTGGGCCATGTTTGCATCTGGCCAGTGAACATGCTGAAGTTTCTCTAGCATGCATCCGAGAAAAAGAGGCTGTGGTCACACACGCCAGTTGAAGCGGAGAGGAAGCAAGGCTATCCCCTCCAGAGGAAGTTGACCTGCGGTTACAAGATCACACAGCCCTTTGTCGCTGCAGACTCAGCCTGTCACTGTGTGATCAGACGCAACTGCGGGTGAGTCAGGTAGGGCTGCCAAGTGGGGGCGGGGGGCGAGTAAACCCCCACTTTGGAGGCCCGATTTCCGCCGCCACGGAATCGGGCCCTGGGGGGAACTCCGCCCCCCAAAGCGCAGCGTGGCTGCGTCACCAGAGGTGACGCAACCACGTCAATCACGTTGGGGGCGTGGCCCCGATCGTCGGAGGGAAAACTCTATGGTTTTTCCTCCAACGATTGGGGCCACGCCCTCAACATTATCGACGTCGCGCATCACTTCCGGTGACATGCTGGCGGCGCGCGCACACAACAAAGGACGGCTCCAGGAGTGCGGTGGGGCTCCCCCGCCGGTAGAGAGAGAGAGAGATGAAATGAGGTTCAGGTACGCAGTGGGTAAGGAACAATCATCTCTTGCTAACTTACTGTTGGCCTATTTCAGTATAAATGTTTAGGAAGAGTCCTCCAATCAGATAGCCAGCTGCGGGACCCAAAATGGCTGCCGTGTAGAAAATTGCTGGAGGGGGGAAAAGAGAGAGAGGCATCAGAAGCGCAGCCCGCAAATGTTTCAAACGTCCTCCCAAAAAACTTCTAAAATTTTGCCGAATTTTTTGGTTTGTGCAAGGTTTCATTTCAGACTCTCTGACCTTCTGCCTGCTGCTGATGGGGGCGGGCTTACATCTAGGGCTGCCAGCCTCTAGGTGGAACCTGGAGATCTCCCAGAATTACAACCAATCTCCAGGCAACAGAGATCAGCTCCCCAGGAGAAAATGGCTGCTTTGGAGGGTGGACTCTATGGCATTCAGTGTGTTCCCTCTAAGCTGAGTTAGTCTGAGCTAGCTCGCAGCTTTTTAGCCTCCGGATCACACATGGTTGTCTTAGCTCAGGGAGGACGGCTCCAGAGCAAACTGATTGATGCAGTAGCCAAATTGCTCGCTCACCTTTAATGCCAGTAGCTCACCTTTAATGCCAGTAGCTCAAAAAGTAGAATTTTTGCTCACAAGGCTCCACAGCTTAGAAGGAGTATTGATGGCACTGTACCCATACGAGGTCTTTCCCCTCCCCAAACCCTGTCCTCCTCAGGCTCCACCCCCAAATCTCCAGAAATTTCTCAGCCCAGAGTTGGCAACTGTATCTGCATCTCATGTAGACGATGCAATAGAGACAAGCTCCCCACACTGGAGCTGTGGCAAAGAACCAGGAAAGCTGGAAGTCCTAAGGATTGAGCTGCCCAACCTACCAGATAACATAGGACGGATGTTCCTTGTCCATAATTTGTGTACGTATGAATGACGTGGAGGAAGCTGATTACGAGAAGAGAAGCCATTATCTACTTTGCCTGTAACTGTCCTCTTTGGCACTCAAGCTGGCTAACAGCTGCATTTCTGACTAATGCTCACTTTTGTGTACCGAGGAGCCAATTAGATGAGTAAGAGCAGAGCGTGGCAGCTCCGTAAGGTTCCAAGAGAATTACATTTCTTTTTGGAGATATTTGACACATGCTGCCGAGTATCTGTGGGGTGCATTTTCACCATCAGGTACTGTGGGATTTATATGGAGGAATGCCCTTATTTAGCCTGTAACTCCGCTTCCAGGAAAGAACCCTTTGAAGAGTTTTAGAACATTGCAGTTTAAATATAGTTTAAAGCACACTGGGGAAACAGTTTACTGCAGGTACGGTCGCCAGGCTGTGCCTAGCAACCAGCGGGAAGCTTGGGGGCAGGGACATGAAGGAGGTCACTACATCCTGTGCACTGCTATGTCACTTCCGGATACAACCTGGAAGTAACAGGGGGGATACAACCTGGAAGTAACAGTGGGTAGCTCTAGGATTCATCAGAAATCTTACGGTTTTACCATAGAGTAAAACCGCCACAAGGTATAGACAGGGACTCTGGGGCAAGTGATGCTCTGCCACTTCTGGGTTGTACCTGGAAATGATGTGTTGGCACAGAGGCCCGAAGTAATATTTTCTTTATTTTTCTCCTGCCGCCTCTCAGATTGGCAGCGAGCAAAGGTGGCTGCCAGTGGGAGACCTGCCACCATAATGTGAAGGCTGGCAACTGGAGAGCATGTCTGGAACATACTTGGTTAATCTTTGGGATGAGAACTGGCAAGGTGCCCAGCCTAGAAGACAATCTAAAAGTGGGAAGGACTCAAGCTTACAATGGATTTCTGGCTGTCTTGCTGCCATAGCACAACCAGGAATACAATTTTGGTGATTGCTTCACCCTGTGATCCCAATTCATAAGTTTGGCAGTCAGAGCCACATGGGGGCTAGAATGTAACACTACATCTGGGGAGGCTCAGGTTCAAAGTTCAAACCCCTGCTCATCATGAAACGAATGGCGTTTTCTTAGGCCAATCAGTCTCTCACAATCTAAACCGTCTCGAAGGGTTGTTGTGAGGATAAAATGCAGGGGATTTTGCGAGTCTCATTTGGAGGTGCTGGCGACTGAACCGAGCAAAGCATATCTGTTAATACTGAACCATGGGTTCTTAGGTAGGTTATGTGCAATCAAATAAATTCAAAAAGAATGATAGAACAATGCTCCCTCTAAGCTGTGGAGTCTTGTGGGCAAAAATTCTATTTTGTGAGCAACTGGCATTAAAGTTGCGAGCGAGCGATTTGGCTGCGGCATCAATTGGTTTACTCTGGAGCCATCCTTCCTGAGCTAAGACAAATACGTGTGATCCGGAGGCTAAAAAACTGTGAGCTAGCTCACACTAACTCAGCCTACAGGGGACACTGTAGAACATATGCAATCAAAATAAACATAGGCATAATCTACACCAGTGATACTCACTCTGCAGCTCTTTTACATGCCACCTGTGGCTCTTCTAAGCACTGTTCACCAACATGGCCAGGGGTCATTTCCTGCAGGAGCGTACAGGAGTGGAGCTCCGGCAGTAAAGAGCCCAGGGGGCGGGCACATGCAACAAGCCCCACCCCCTGCTCCCAGCAGCCCTCAGTCAGAGCAAGAAGCAGCCAGGTAAGTTGCAGGGCTCCCCCCGGCCCCCTGGTCCAAAACAGTCCAGTGGCACCTTTAAGACCAAGTTTTATTCAGGTACAAGCTCTCCCTCCTCTGCGAGGACAGATCTGCACATCCCCCCCCCAATAGCTAGCAATCCAAAACAGTCCAGTGAAGCCTGAGCAGTGGGTGTTGCCTTCTGACACACTTCCAGTGATGTCAGGGGGTGTGGCATATGCAAATAATTTATGCTAATGAGTTATGCTAATGAACCCCTGCACCTCTTTTTGTATGAAATGACCCCTGAACATGGCACTTGTGGGACTGTGTCTTTAAGAAAGGGGGCAGAGCCCCCCAAAGCCCCAGCATCACTACAGGCCTGTATGTGGTTCTTCTGGTTCATGGAAATTATGAATGTGGCTCTCTGCAAGCAGCCAAGTGAGTATCACTGATCTATTAAATTATAATCAACAGATAGCTCTTTGGGGAGGTGAAAAGACCAAGAAAACAGGAGAGAAAAACCAGTTTCAACATATTGATTACCAATATAGACAGGTGAATAGTTAGACTTGACATTTTCATCCAAATAGGTCACTCCAAGGGTATAGAGAGGTGTCGCTCCGATCCCATGTAGAAACTGTCCGAGCATGAAGATGAACCGGTAATTCGAGAGGCTGGAAGCGCTCCCCGAGCACCGCACGCTCTGGTTGGAGAAGCACATGTCCGTGTCCTGCAAGAAATGTACCTCGTACTGGCTGGTGGTGAAATGGGGCAACGTAAAGACAAGGGACCCAATCCCCATGATGAACACCCCCCATCCGAGCCATCGCGGCTTATGCCCGTTCCCCCCAAAGTAACTGACAAATGTCAAGCACACGCAGGCCGCGATGTCGTACGAGCTAGCGATCAGTCCGCTCTCATAGCTCCGCAGGTCGAACCGCCGCTCGATGGACGTGATGACCGTATTGATGAAGCCGTTGACCGTCATGCCTTGCAGGAAAGAGGCCGCGCAGAGGAAGAACAAGACCCCCTTGGGGGCATTGCAGAACTGTAAACAACTCGGAGTAAAGGCCCCCCACCCACACTCCAGTCCCTCTTCTTCTGAGGAGACATATTTAATCCCTGTGCTGTACGGGCCTTTGCCTTCGGATCTGGCCTCGCAGAGGGGTTTTGCGCACGAGTCCGAAGGGCTGTTGGCGTTGGAGTATAAAGTGCCGTTGCTTAGAGGGGTAGAACAAGACTCCCTGGGAGTGGGGATATCGAAACTGAGGCTACTCTCCACTGGGTCTGAGGTGCTAGAAAAGATAAGTTTCTGGGTGAAGTCGAAGCCATTTTCCCCTGACAACTTGTGAGGCATTTCCATCAGAGGGGAGCCAAGGGCTCAGCGCCGTCTTTCCTTTTATTCCCCCAGACCGGTTTGGATTCTTGCGTCGGCGTATGGAGATCTTGGCTTTCAAAAGGAATGGTTTTGTGACAAAAGGGCAAGCGAGCGGAGGGGCAAATGAGGGATCTTGGACCACTTCATCCTGTGGAGAGAACATCGAGAAGAGTTAGCAAGTGCGTGGGAGACCGTGCAAGAACTGCCAGTTTTCTTTCCCAGCCTCTGCTTTTGAGCCTTCTACAGAAACATAATCTGCTGATATGGATAACACTAATGCTAAGAAGCCCTGACCTGGATGGTCCAGGCTGGCCCGATCTTGTCAGTTCTCAGAAGCTAAGCGGGGTCAGCCCCGGTTAGTACTTGGATGGGAGACCACCAAGGACGCCCAAGGGCTGTTACTCAGAGGCAGGAAAGGACGGACCATCTCTGTTCACCTCTGGCCTTGAAAATGCTGTGACTCCATGAGTCAGTGGTGACTTAAAAGAACTGTCTTCCACTGAGACCAAGAAAAACAGCAAATTATGTTGTTCTTAAAGTAAATACGGTAAGTCAGGTTGTCTCAGTGAGGTCAGTTGCGGTGACTTAAAAGCACTGTCTTCCACTGAGACCAAGAAAAACGGCACATTATGTTGTTTTTAACGTAAATACGATAAGTCAGGTTGTCTCAGTGAGGTCAGTTGGCCACCCAATTCTATACTAAAATTCTTCTTACTTATCAGGTCTCCTTAGGTTGATGCATGGTCTCTACTCACACCTTTCCTGGCTTGCCAAATGCTTTTAGAAAGTGGGTGGGGCCAGGTGGGTATTTTCCCAGCTGGCTTCTGATTGGCCATTGGAGATTGGATTGGCTTTGCAGATTTTTAAAAAAATGTTACTTTGGCAGCATCTGCCGCCTCGACACTAAGATCCTCACTGTCTGACTAAAGGTAAGCCAGGGCAGCCATTTTGCGGCTGGCTTCGCCTCTTCTGGCAGCCATTTTGTGGTTGCGTTCACCATATTCTGTCAGAATTCCAATGGTGCCCAAAGGCTCAAAAGGTTGGGGACCCCTGGGTTGAAAGTATTTTATCACCTCGGACAAAATACTCATCCTATTCTGCTACTGGCTGGGTCCAAAAGAAGACCACATGGGCATCATGAGAGACCACACAGAGGCCTGACAGAGAGCCAGCTGTATAGCAGTGGTGAAGAGTGACAGACTCTAATCTGGAGAACTGGGTTTGATTCCCCCCTCCGCCACATGCAGCCAGCTGGGTGATTTTGAGCCAGTCACAGTTCTCTCAGAGCTGTTCTCCCAAGAGCAGTTCTCTCAGAGCTCTCTCAGCCCCGCCTCCCTCACAGGGTGCCTGTTGTGGGGAGAGGCAGGGAAGGTGATCGTAAGCCATTCTGAGAGTCCTTCGGGTTCTGAAGAGAGGGTATAAAACCAACTCCTTATTTATTTATTTATAAATTCAATTTATAACCCGCCCTCCCCGCTGCGCGGGCTCAGGGCGGCTCACAATTTGGCATACACCTACACATGAAACAAATTAAAACCATATAAAATCCTTACTACATACATCAAAATAAGTGCTCTAGCTGTTCCAGTCTGATCTTCCACAAAGATGACGTTACAAGATTGTACATCTACTCAATGCTCTCAGTTCGACACGACACTGCTGTTCCCCCTTCCCAGGGCCAGACAATACTGATGGAACATAACGATGGTGCGGTAGTGGTGGTGGCTCCTACTTGAAAGCCTGGCGGAAGAGCTCCGTCTTACAGGCCCTGCGGAACTGCACAAGGTCCCGCAGGGCCCGGATCTCTTCTGGGAGCTCGTTCCACCAGGCAGGACTTCATGGGGACTCAGCCAGTAGCAGAAGAGGTCCCCGGGTGTCACCCAGAGAAGGCAAGCTCCATTGTGTCTCACACCATTAACAGTCAGTAGCATACTAAGCCTCTGTGGTTCTTCAGCATGCTCCTCATGTGCCACCCCAAGCGGTCATCAGAACATATAGAGGACAGAGAGTCCCTTAGGAACAGGATTTGGAGGAGACATTTGGCACTCCTCTTGAAGGGAAGGCAAGAAGAAGAAGAAGAAGAAGAAGAAGAAGAAGAAGAAGAAGAAGAAGAAGAAGAAGAAGAAGAAGAAGAAGAAGAAGAAGAAGAAGAGATTGAAT